GTTGTGGGGAAGGGAAGGGGAAGGAGTTTGTAAGCCGCGCTGAGAAGGCCGGGGTATAAATCCAATCTCCTCCTCCTCCTCCTCCTCCTCCTCTTCTTCTGTCAATCACCGAAGTGTTCTCTCAAGAGCAGTCCTTGAAAGAGCTCTCTCAGCCCCACCGACCTCACAGGGTGTCTGTTGTGGGGAGGGGAAGGGGAAGGAGTTTGTCAGCCGCTCTAAGACTCCAAGTGAAGGGCGGGGTAGAAATCCAATCTCCTTCTTCTTCTTCTTCTTCCTTCCATTATCAGGAGTATCAATAAGTTTATTTTGAGTAAATAGAATTAGCACAGTTTCAGAGAATTATTATTACACTGGTTGAAGCAAACAGGTTTGGGGATAACCCTTGGAGAACAGTGGCCGGAAATGTCTTCTTCTGCAAAATCATTCCCTGAGAAGTAAGCGAAAAAGAGGTCAGTGAACAGCCTCAGAGATGCCCGAGCGTGCAGCAGTGCTTTCAAAGGCAACGAATGATCAGCGTAAAGGGCTCAGGCAGTACTTTTGTCAGAAATGACCCTGTAGGACCCGTGAACTGGAGAGAGGAGGGATAAAAGTATCTTTTAGGGTTCAAAACCTGGAGACGCTCACCATTCAAACCGTCCTTTTTTCCTACCTGTTGAGACCAATGCTCCCACTAAGCCGTGGAGTCTTCTCGTGAGCCAAAATTCTACCTTGTGAGCTGCCGGCATTAAAGCTGTGAGCGAGCGATTTGGCTGCTGCATAAATCAGTTTGCTCTGGAGCCCTCCTTCCTGAGCTAAGTCAAAAACGTGTGAGCCGGAGGCTAAAAAAAACCCTGTGAGCTAGCTCACACTGACTCAGCTTAGAGAGAACACTGGTTGAGACCCTGGGACAATACCTGTTGGTATTCACCAGTGAGCAAGCTTTTAAGTGACACAAGACTCCTCCTCAGACCAGTTAGGAAAGGCACGTGGTCAAAGCATTAAGCCCCATCGGTGCTTTGTTTCTGTCTCGAGACAGTAGCAAAGAAAGAATCATAGAATGTTAAAGTTGGAAGGGACCCTGCAGGTCATCTAGTCCAACCCCCTGCACTCTGCAGGACCACAGCCGAAAGACAGCCCTACAACCCACCTGAAAGATGGTCATCCAGCCTCCGCTTGAAAACGTCCAGCGAAGGAGCATCCACCACCTCCCGAGGCAGTCTGTTCCACTGCCCAACCACCCTTACAGTTAGGAAGTTTCTCCCGATATTTAGCTGGTTCAAATGCTGCTGTTTTCAGATTTCATGAATGTTTGTCATTTGATTGGTTTTTTTTACCACTGAAACTTTTTTTCCTGATGTAATGACTGTCTGCAAATGAAGGGAACTTGTTGCAAGAATTCTGTTGGGGGGGTCATTGAACAAATGTAAAGGAAATAATAAGACCCCACCCCACCCAGCCATGGAAGCTTGCTGGGGGATCTGGGGCCAGCCTCGGCTACCTCGCAGGGTTGTTGTGAGTGTAAAATGGAGAAGAGGAGAAGGATGTCTATCAGTTTCGGTCCCCGCTGAGGAGAAACGTGGAGTATAAATGAAACACGCGTGGATGTCCTTGCACGCACGAATGACATTTGGAGTTTGGGTATTTGTCCGCTCAGGAGATTTTAATCTTTGACCGTCAACATGGAAACAATCAAGAATGCCCGAAAGCTCTGAGCGCACATTCCGTGGTGGCAAACATTTGCAACTCACCACACCGGCACGGCTTCAGAGGGGGGAACCTCTGCTTCCTTCCCCGCGTACTGTTAGTCGGCCGGAATGTGCCGGGCTTGTTTCTTCGGCGTTTGCAACATGCAAAGGGCGGGGGAGGTTGGGTGCGGCGGTGCTTTGCGTGGCTGACCTCCTGCCTCTTTCCTTTCCAGTACGAGATGCGAGAAACCTAGTTCCCATGGACCCCAATGGCTTGTCGGACCCCTACGTGAAGCTCAAACTCATCCCCGACCCGAAAAGCGAGAGCAAACAGAAGACGAAAACCATCAAATGCTCTTTGAACCCCGAGTGGAATGAGACCTTTAAATTGTGAGTGCAGCGGGCGGCGCTTCCGCTGGGGGGGACGCTTTCCTCTCCAAAGGGGGCCCCTCAGAAGAGGGGGTGCGTGGGAGGCCACGGCCCACCGCAGAGACACAAGACGTGCCCCCCCTGCCCTCTTTGCCCTGTCCCTCGGTGGGGTGGGGAGGGGAGATGAGGCCGCTTCGCCCCTCCTGGGATCCGGTGCACTGTGGGGAGGGCGGGATACAGAGCTGGGCTCCCCCATGCAGACCCCGGATTCCTTTGGGGGGCTGCTCCTGTCCTGCCCAAGTCAGGTGAAAAGTGTCCCTTTCGTGCCTTTTGCTGGGAGTTGCTTCTGAACACCCACCCACCCCGGGTCCCCTACCCATTGCCCTCTGGGCTGCCCGGTTGGCTGGTCTCCAGTTTGGTGTAGTGGTGAGGAGTGCAGACTCTAATCTGGGAGAACCGGGTTTGATTCCCCACTCCTCCTCCAGCATGCAGCTGCTGGT